TCCTAAAATAATATAACTTATGTCATTTAAAATGACAAACATCAAACTCATTATTTAAACATGGTCCTATCACTTAATTTGTTTTTAGCTTCTTTTTTTTTAAGAAAAAACCCAAGCAAGACCTGATTATCAAACTTGTGCAGGACAACAAATTAGACATGATTAGTTATCAAACTTCAAGACCTAATACGTCAAATGCTTTGACGGGATTAGCCAAAAAAATTAAGTCCATGTTTTTTAATAAATTAATTACGCATTTATTACAGTTTTGGAAATAATTATATATTTATTGTACAATATAACGACCAATTTGGGCGTCACTCAAGACGCCTAAATTGGGCGTCACTCAAGAGGCAATCATACTTAATTTAGGCGTCATTTATGATATTGACACGTGTCATATTTTTTTTCCAAAAAAATAATAATTTAATCATAAAACTTCTGAAGGCCGTAACTTTTGACTCGGGTATCCAAATCAGGTAATTCTTTTTTTAATTCCTCATAACTTTTCGAGATCTACGCAATGAGATCTCATTTGACATATTTTATTTCTCACAAACACAATTTAAATTTGCAAGAATAATATTATAAGAAACGTTAAACCCGGAAGCCTCTGAGTTCTGGATTTGTGATTTAATATAAATAAATAAATAAATAAAAATTTGATTTGTGATTTAATTTTTTTTTAATAATATTTTTTTATTATAACAAAAATTTGGTTTGTGATTTAAATTAAAAATTAAAATTAAAATTATTATTAATAACGAAAACAAAATAAAGATTTGATTTGTGACTTAAGCTTAAAAATCATTTTGAAAAATATGTAGAAATAAAGGAAATAATTAAATAAATATTCTAAATCTCTAAGGAAGAAGAATATTATTTTTGAAATTAATGATTAATGCTATAAGCTTCTAAGTTATTATTTATGGTCTGAAATTAATTATGGCTTATGCATTTTTTTCAAAAATAAAATTACCTAAATTAGGCGTGATTGCCTCTTGATTGAAACCCAATTTAGACGTCATTGGTGACGTGTCAGGTGTTGACACGTGTCACATTTTTAAACTCAGAAGCCTCTGTGTTTTGGGTTTGTGATTTAATATAAAAAATAAATCAAGATTTGATGTGTGATTTAAATTAAAAAATAACAATTATTATTAATAAGGAAAGCAAAATAAAGATTTGATTTGTGATTTAAACTCAAAAATCAATTTGAAAAATCTGTATTAATAAAGGAAATAATTAAATAAATATTCTAAATCTCTGAGGAAGAAGGATTACCTGATTTAAATTTAAATTATGTTTGTGAGAAATAAAATATATCAAATGAGATGTCATTGCGTAGATCTCGAAAAGTTATGTGGAATCAAAAAACAATTACCTGAATTGGATACCCGAGTCAAAAGTTATGGCCTTCATAAGTTTTATGATTAAATTATTAAAATTAAATCTAATCATGCCAATTATTAAAAAAACTTTAAAATATATCTTGTTTTTAAAATAAAATAAAATAAAAACATAAATGAAATGATAATTAAAATTCATAAAATTTATACTTAATATATTTTAATTTTATTTATCCTGATATGATAAGCATAGGTTGTGTCAAAATTTCTATATAAATACATAAAATACAAAATTTAAAAGTACACAATACGATAAAGTTTTGTTTCAAAATTTAAAAGTACATAATACAAAATTTAAAAGCACAAATTCTTTTAGTTTTAAAATAATCATTGTTTAAAGATTTGTACAAAAATTAAATAATTCATTAAATTCTTTACGATTTAATGAAAATATAAGTTTATTTGATTATATTACACCTTCACTCTATTAAATCATTCTTATTCCAATAAGTAGAAATAAAAAAATAAAGTAGAGCTAAGAAAATAATATTTTTTTTTTTAAAGTGACAAATAATTTAGAATAAATTATAACTTTTTAAATACAATTAGATACATAAAATGTGCCTATCATAGTAGAAAGCAAGTTAAATTCAACACCATATTATTTAAGTGGAAAGTGTTTGTCATTTTAAATGACATAAAGTTATGTCATTTGTAACGCCCGGTCGCTTCAAGAATCAATGACTATCCCCACATACTAACACGAGACTTTTCAGTGTGCTTTTTCCTCACTCGCACACTTCCCGGGAAAACTTCCTAGGAGGTCACTCATCCCATAATTGCTCCTAGTCAAGCACACCTAACTGTGGAGTTCTTCCGATCCGGGCTACCGAAAAGCAGATGCATCTTGTTAGTATAGGTAGTACCAATTGATTCTTATAAGCTATTCTCAAACTGTGCAGTCTCATACCTGCACAGTCTTTGGAATTCTTCTCTTTCGGGTGTCGATTCGATTCATTCATGCATGTAACCCCACGCTGGAAGCCTGTCAGGAGCCGCTCCTTGTCCGTGCCCCTTTGCACCGGCGATTACTCCCTGCCCTCGTCAGCGCTCTAGATGTTACATCATTTTAATAGAGAGATTCACACAAGAAATTATTTTTTATTTAAAATTTAAATTAAAAAAATCACTCACTTTCTCTCCCATGATTTTCATTTCTTATCTCTATATCTCTCCTAAAATAATATAACTTATGTCATTTAAAATGACAAACATCAAACTCATTATTTAAACATGGTCCTATCACTTAATTTGTTTTTAGCTTTTTTTTTTTTTTAGAAAAAACCCAAGCAAGACCTGATTATCAAACTTGTGCAGGACAACAAATTAGACATGATTAGTTATCAAACTTCAAGACCTAATACGTCAAATGCTTTGACGGGATTAGCCAAAAAAATTAAGTCCATGTTTTTTAATAAATTAATTACGCATTTATTACAGTTTTGGAAATAATTATATATTTATTGTACAATATAACGACCAATTTGGGCGTCACTCAAGACGCCTAAATTGGGCGTCACTCAAGAGGCAATCATACTTAATTTAGGCGTCATTTATCAGATATTGACACGTGTCATATTTTTTTTCCAAAAAAATAATAATTTAATCATAAAACTTCTGAAGGCCGTAACTTTTGACTCGGGTATCCAAATCAGGTAATTCTTTTTTTAATTCCTCATAACTTTTCGAGATCTACGCAATGAGATCTCATTTGACATATTTTATTTCTCACAAACACAATTTAAATTTGCAAGAATAATATTATAAGAAACGTTAAACCCGGAAGCCTCTGAGTTCTGGATTTGTGATTTAATATAAATAAATAAATAAAATTTTGATTTGTGATTTAATTTTTTTTTAATAATATTTTTTTATTATAACAAAAATTTGGTTTGTGATTTAAATTAAAAATTAAAGTTAAAATTATTATTAATAAGGAAAACAAAATAAAGATTTGATTTGTGACTTAAACTAAAAAATCATTTTGAAAAATCTGTAGAAATAAAGGAAATAATTAAATAAATATTCTAAATCTCTAAGGAAGAAGAATATTATTTTTGAAATTAATGATTAATGCTATAAGCTTCTAAGTTATTATTTATGGTCTGAAATTAATTATGGCTTATGAATTTTTTTCAAAAATAAAATTACCTAAATTAGGCGTGATTGCCTCTTGATTGAAACCCAATTTAGACGTCATTGGTGACGTGTCAGGTGTTGACACGTGTCACATTTTTAAACTCAGAAGCCTCTGTGTTTTGGGTTTGTGATTTAATATAAAAAATAAATCAAGATTTGATGTGTGATTTAAATTAAAAAATAACAATTATTATTAATAAGGAAAACAAAATAAAGATTTGATTTGTGATTTAAACTCAAAAATCAATTTGAAAAATCTGTATTAATAAAGGAAATAATTAAATAAATATTCTAAATCTCTAAGGAAGAAGGATTACCTGATTTAAATTTAAATTATGTTTGTGAGAAATAAAATATGTCAAATAAGATGTTATTGCGTCGATCTCGAAAATTTATGTGGAATCAAAAAAAGAATTACCCGATTTGGATACCCGAGTAAAAAATTATGGCCTTCAGAAGTTTTATGATTAAATTATATTTTTTTGAAAAAAAATATGACACATGTCAACACCTGATGAGTGACGCCTAAATTAGGCGTGATTGCCTCTTGAGTGCGAGTCCTTACACAAATTTCTGATATTCTTCTTGACTTTCTCCCTAATTTGTTCCCTAATTTCTATCTTAGGAATTTCCTTCATCCAATACCTGACTTTGTTTTTTCTTGAATTTCCTTTATTTGATTTCTCTTAATTCATATCAGGAATTTTTAAAAAATAAAATAATATATACTTGATATAAAACAACTTTTGAAGAGAGAAAAACCCATCCAAAGAGGCCCTAATAATTTTTTAATGACAAAAAAATTCAAAAATTATTAAAAAAAAGATCATTCTTTTTTTAATTTATACATCCCTTCGGTAAAGCATATTGATTTGTTTTCAAATCCGATCCGATCGCCTCTTTTTTTCGGTTTGGAAACACAATGTTTCCTTTTTCAGCTATACTTTTTTTTCCTTTTTTTTTTCAGTGAAAATAAGCAAGCAGCTGTCAACTCCATTTTCAAAGTAAACGCCATTGCTATATATAATTGACTCAAGGTCACAAAAACATGCAGTGACACACTAATATCATATTCACAGGTTCTGTACAACTAGCTGAGTTTTCTCAGTAATCATTATTTAGAGGAAAAAAATGTAATCCACTTTTGCCAACTGTAGAATGTGTTGGGCAAAGTATACTATAAAACCCCAGCTAAAGCAGCAGAGATAGTGGTTTATGGGGTGTCAACCTGTCAGTAGGTCAAAATGCTTTACAGAGGTTAGCCCTCATGTTAGATAAACCTTGCTGATGAATTGGAACTGCCCACAACTTGCTCCTCTTTGGTTCAGATATCCTTACATGTGAAATTGCATTGGCAAGTGCATCAATCCACACACAAACATTATGATATTCTGAATTGCAACTTTCAGATGATGAAGAAAGGCTTGAAACCTCATTAAGGAACCCATCATCCATCCTGTTTCTTCCTAACCTAGGTTCAGGTGCAGCAACAAAGTTGTGGCAAGCAGCTCCATTTTGGTGCTTCAACTTTGATTCAACGGGCAGGATCTTCAATGTACGTTCTGTGTAGAAAGATATCCATGGATGTCCTGAAATTGAACCACATAATATTAATTTAACATGCAAACAATCGAACAGTTCTTAAAACTTAAAAGTACTGTCATTTTATTTCCTGTTTAAAAACATTAGGGAGAAAAAGAGAGCCTCAACCACATAGAAGAACACATAATAAAAACTAACAAAAGTATGTGAGAATTAACAGATTCCCACCACTGTTATCCCAACCAAAACAAGGCAATCCTTCTAATTATTAAGAATTCATGTGAAAGGCAAAGATACTTTTCAACAAAACTTGGAAATTTCTAATTTTAATTATTTCAAGATTAAAAAACAAAAAATCAGACCAAATACAACTAGTCTTTGGTGTATTCATCATTGAGGAAGAGAGATAAAGCACGCTACAAAACATTAATAATCTACCATAAACTTACTAAGTACTTCATCAGCTGTTATCCTTGCTGAAATATCCCTTGTCAGCATTCTCCCAACAAGATCTCGTGCAGGTTTAGATATTGATTCCCACATCCCGGTTTGGAACTCTAGCTTGGAATTCTTAATAGCCTCAAAAACTGCTTCTTGTGAATCCCCTTTAAATGGAAGAACACCAACCAACAGAGCATGCAGGAGCACTCCAGCACTCCATATATCCGCCTTTTCTGAGTATCTACCCAACAACACTTCTGGTGCAACATATGCAGGGCTCCCAGCCAAACCCGTCAAGTTCTGACCTGCAATGCAAATTTCTAGACAATGAGGCTATGCATAAATTACTCATGTATGCATGTATGTATCTTTTACTTATGTGTGTGTATTTATATATATGTCAATTGAATTACTGATATTTTTAAATGCTTAAAAATTAAACAAAGTGACCTTAGAGTATGAATGGTTAGCTTCAAACTATTATAAGCATTTTCTCTAGGACCTCTTATTCTTAGACCGCTAGCAAATTTAATTGAATACTGAACATAGTAAACTTAAGGGAGATGACCATTTGAACTCTCCAATTTTTACTCCTATGTACAGGGTAACATTAGTAAAGTACAATTCAGTTGAAAGCTCATCATGATGAACTTCTTCAAACTTGCCTAGACATTTTTTATTAACAGAATGACTAGGATGGAATTTTACACAAGGAAGGTTGTGTAAGGATTCTATTCATAGAAGTTAGCACATATATATACCATAGGATAACAAAAAAAGAAGATCATCCAAACAGGTTTAACATATTACCCTTAGAAATTCTCATGGCCAGGCCAAAATCAGCAAGCTTTATTTCCCCCGAAGCAGTAAGCAGAATATTCTCAGGCTTGATATCTCTGTGCACAACTCCCATATCATGACAATACTTGATGACCAACATCACTTCCTTAAGTATATTAGCAGCCCGCTGTTCAGAACAAGGGCCCTCCCTAAACATCTGGTCGACAAGTCTTCCCCCAGAGCATAATTCCATCACCAGATGAGAGCAATCAGCTTCCTCATACACTGCCAGCAGAGTCACAACCCCAGGATGCCCAGACAAGTGCTGCATTATCTCCACCTCCCTGTAAACAGTCTCATCCCCCTTCTTCAGAGTCTTACACGCATACTCCGCGCCGCCAACAAGAGACCTACGCTTAGCGATATATTTTTATTTATTTTAAATAATTCATATTTCTATCATCGATTCATACTCTCAATCCAAAACATATAATTGAAAATATTATATTCAACTGTAAAATTATTATTATTATTGAGGTAAAAAGTTTTGGGCGACCTTTGGAGGATAGTAGCCTCATTAAACTATGATGAATATGTAAGTATTTTATTTGAAAATGGTAATTAGCGAAATGAATATAATGTTGATCATCTCAAAATAATTTACTTCTTAAGAATAGTATTGTAACCGAGGGCATATCAAACAAATGGCATAGCGTGTGCCGGAACAAAATTTTGACGTGCATAATCACACCAGATGTTTTATGTACTCTAAAATCAACGGCAAATTGAGAGTACTAACTTGGTTAGGATGGAGAAAAAAAGGTTATAGCGAATTGAGAAGCGGAGAAAGTTATATTTATTATTATTTTAGACTTATCACTCTTATTATTTGATTGGTTATTGTTATATCAATTTGAAATCAATAATAAAAAAATAGAAAGAAAAAAAAAACTATTGCTGATTTCGACTTTGATAAATAATTAGATAGTAAGGGTGGTACGTCTAAAATATAATAAATATAACCGCCCCAACTGAGAGGCTTGATAGTCCATTGTTCTTTATAAAACAAAGGGGTGGTGAAGGGAGGGCCCCAATTGGTAGAAAAAAACCCGCAACTTTTTTTCTTCCAGAAACTCTTAGTATTTAAAAAATACATTGAATTTCAATTATTTCGAGTTGAGTCGAGTGAACTTACTCAAAGGAACAAGTCGAGTCAATATTACAGGGAGCGCACGAGTTGGGTTTTTACGCAATATGTCTATAACGTCAAGACCATGGTCACCATATAGACGTTCAATGCACCTTAAATTTTGAACAGTAAAGTAATCTTCAATACGGTTCAGAGTCTCCATATTGATCTTATTTTCATTCATGTTATTATATAATTCCTCTGCACGTTTAGCTGCAGAACTCACAGACTCTAATAACATGTCCAGCTCAAATCTGTCATCTTCACATCTGAACAAGCTCTCTTCGTACTGATTCCTGCACATATGTTCGGAAGAGTAATCCTCACTTCCTGAACTCACAGATACCCAGTGATCATTCAATACTTGAGCACCAAGCTCAGATCTCTGACTAGCTGTAGGAATTGGATAATCAGCAGGTAGAAGCCGGTAGCTGGGAGTGCAACGTTTACAGTCACTGAGGTCAAGTTCTTGAATGGATTTTCCCATGTACTCCTTCTCCCTGTATCTTTCCTTCTCTTTAGCTCCATCCATCTCACGCTTCTGCTCTTTGTCTTTGTCTTTGTCCTCCAACTTTGATGATCTTAGTGACTTTTTACTCATGACACCAGCAAGGAACCCATCAATATTTTCCAAACACTCCAGGAAATCATTGAATTCCACCATAAGATCAAGATGCTTTCCAAGTAAATCGGTTACCAAATTTTGCAATTCATTCCTTTTTATTATTTCACTGACGAAAAAATTATGAAGGCACTTCAAGAAAGCTTGGTAGTCATCAGCACTGTTCAACTTCTCCTTAACTTTCTCAAAGAAACTGAATGCTTGACTATAC